TGCAAACATTTTCGCACCAACAAAAAAAAAGTTGAAATGACGCCCCTGGTGTGGACGCGCCTTAATACTCAACGGTTGCCGGCCACGGTGATAAAAAAAAAACTGTTCGTGGACAACGCGCTCTGTTGTTGATATTGGTGTGTAACTACGGCGTCGAACGTCTCAAACTTGTTGTGGCTACCAATTGGTTGCGCGCATGTAGCTCTTGTTATACTCAGGAAGTTATGTTTCATCTATGTTTAAGTTATTATATTAACTATGTCTCATTACATTTTCCCCTTTTGATTTTTAGGTTTTTTGCTTTGTTAATAATTTTGAAATAAAACAAATAAATATAAAACCAAACATCAATAAAATTGTGTGTCGGCTTGAATCAAGTGGGGTATCCTTCCTCCAMGGTAATAATAACAAAAAAAAACRTGCAATTAATTTTTCTTTCCTCTATTAGTTACGGTTAGCCCTTATTCGGACCATGTTCCGGCGATTCCTCCATTCCTCTTTCTTGCGCTTGCGGTTACTGATCTGAAGACTGGTTTTTTGGAGACTGCAATAGTGTCCGTGGTACCCATAATTTTGGTGACCTCCGCAGGATCAATACTCAGTTCGAGGCCCTCCTCTGGATCTGGAACYTTAACAYACTGCATCGTGGGTGGGAAACTAATTGTAGACCCGACTTGATACTGTGTTACTTCAACCTCTAGCTCACGCCTATACTCGGCCATTGCCTTCTCGTTCTGAATGTTTACAGGTATGCTTGACACGTTGAGCTTGTTAATTTTTTCTGTACGTAGTTCAAGTATGTCTTCATATAAATAATCTTCACCGAATAACTGATGGTTTTTGTGATGTCGAGTTTCAAGCAATTCGTCCAGCCAACGATCTGGCTCTGGGGTTTTCGTTTGTGTGCGGTTAGTGTGAGGGACGTCACTAGTGTCCATGTTTGGTCCGTTCAAAAAAATGTCGATAAAAATAAAAATAATACATGTTATTTATTGCAGTTAGAACTACCACCGACACAACACGAAACGAATTTTTGTGGTTCTTCAGATTTTACTCCACTCTTTCCGGGGTCAGGAGGGATGTAGAGTTTGATATTTTTGAAATTATGCGTGACTTGATCCCCAATTCTATCTGTGATCACGACCGTGTTGTTTTTTCTGACTTAGTGCTGACGATAGTCGATGTTCTCGAACTAACACCTGTTTTCCGGCTTGATATGATGGAAAACGTTTTCCCTTATACTTGGCCTGAGTTCTTTGTTGCGCTCGCTTTTGGAGTCTGATGATACTTTCCACATCCTTTTCTGGAATCTGGATAGGTAGTGAAACTAATTTATCAATTGATAGACTGCATTTCTTCCCTGTCATAATTTGCATGGGAGTGAATCCGGTCTATTGGTGCGTGCCGCGTGGTTTTGTTCAACGAAAATTCGATGTTATTGAGCCACATTACTCAGGTGGTGTGCTTCTTGTAATAGGCCTGTAGAATGCGTACTATTTCCCGGTTAGCCCTTTCCACCGGATTRGGTTGACCCCRATAATTAATTTTATTGGGGTCAAAAGCGGTTCTTGCTTTGGTTAGCTGGATCAGGCGCGCTCGGCCCGACATTACGATGAATATCGTTAAATATGTCGGTAAACCGGGGGTGTCCTTCATCGAATCTGCCTAGCGGAAGCATAATGGCACAGGGTTTTCTTAATTGAAAGCCCTAGACACCTCCTAAGCTCAGGTACTTAGCTATGAGAATTAGGTTGGCACGGAGGAGGGTAAAATACCGTGTCTCCTCCCCACGGGATCCACCTTTACGTGGCGGGGAGGCTTGCGGGCTCTTAATTGAGTCTTACTAAGCGATCCCGGTCTAAATCAGATCAAAAACACAGAGCCTGACCTTAACTGGTCGGGCAGGTCTGGTCCACCTGCAAGCGCCTGCAAACGGACATAGGTGAAGGTAACACTGACTTAAAATCCCCCTGGCGGCAGGGCTAAAACGCAAGGGAGAGGCACCCTTTAAAAAACTTCAAATGGAAGTCAAGAACGGAAATTTGGTTACCGCACCAGGGGATTCGGACCCCCAGGTGCCGGCAGCAGTGAGTGGATCCGGGGTAAAAGCCAGGTCCAACGTAGCGGGCTCACTGCGGTCGTTATTCTACGACCGTGATGGTGCGGGGATGACCAGCCAGGCCCCCGTTTCTCTATCCAATACTAGAGCTGAAGAGGGTAGGTCAATCGCTCCTCAAGCGGTAGCAGATACGGAAACAGGTGAAGAGACAACAAGTCGGACAGTCCAAAGGAAGGTCGTGGTTATTGGCGGTCTTAGCGAGGATGAACTGCTGGTGAAACTACGTGTGTACCTAAACTCCATGTGCGTCTTCGCACAGAGTAATAGGAACGTGCATAGGGAACTAAAAGAGACCCTTGCAAACTCCAATACAATCATGGGGCACTACGTGAAGGTGTTGAAACAACGGCGAAGTCTGGAGATTGTGCGCACAAATAAATTGGAGACAAAGCCGACAACCATGGACATGGAAACCCAAACGCCCTGTTGGTGGGACAGTGGTAGTCCGCCAATTATGAAGAGCAGCAAGCCCTAGGTACTGAATAAAGAGCATACGGATGATGGAACATTGGCCGAGAAGACCAAAAGCTGGAGTGCTGCGGTGAGTGGAAAGACCAAGGCCAAGGCTACAGGGACAACGGCCCGGCCGTCCATACATGGTGACTCMAAGCCAAGGACCGACAATAGGAGACATAGAACGTGGCCCTCGGCAATTGTAGTACACGTAGATAGTCAGGAGGACTTCCCGGCGCTTGCCAAGCGCATCAAAAGTGGTATGGATGGTGAAGCAGTGGGAAATGCAAACACAGGAATGAGAAAAACAAAAAACGGTAACCTACTACTTGAGGTACGTGGTGAAGAAGCCGAAGTTAGCAGAATAAAGGCAGAGGTTACCAAAACAGCTGGAGACGATGCTAGAGTAACACTATACCAACAGAGGACACTGCTGGAAGTCAGGGACATTGACGCTTGGGCAGACAAGGAGGACATCGTCAATGCCATTACCCGGGATTCATGAACCTCCCGAGATGCGATTAGTGTCATCGGGCGCATGTAAACTCCCCTAAAAACATTTTGCTACCGTATTACACTCACGTAAACTCCCCTAAAAACCTTTTGCTACTGTATTACACTAATGTAAATTCCCCTTAAAATATTTTAATAGAACCATTTAGCGTAACCCAGAGGACACCACGTGGAGGCGGTTCTATTTATCCTCCAAAAATATTTGTGTTTTGTATTGCATTTATATTATTTTATTCAATTTTATTTTGAAAAATTATTTTTCATTGTCATACTAGAT